GTTTGGTGCACGTCTTAAAGGAAAATAAGAATTAAAAAAAAAAAATACACCAAACTGGTCTGTTTTCATTGCATTATGCAGATGAAATGACAAGTTGTCATTTAAGAAGTTAATAAACAGTCACCATTTTGCAGGTTATCCAAATGCTACTGAATAGAAAACCTTGGATCCCTAAATGATGTGTAATTAAAATTATTTAAAAAATCCTCCTTGACAGGCCAGGGCTTAGCCAAAATGTAAATGACATTAAAGAAGACAATGAATTTAATTTTATTTAATGTCCCTTTTTGCAGATCCTCATTTACATAGCATTTTTAACAAAAGCGTTGACCTTATAAATGCTGGCATTTGTACAGCTTCTGCAGAGTTGGATTTAATCATGCTTTCGCAAAGCCATAAGGGAAAAAGCTTTAAGTTCTCTGGTTGGATATGGAGTAGGAATAAAAACATTGGGACTGGTCAAATGTTTATCCTCCTTGCTTCTGAAAACAACCTGACAAGAAGATGTAAAGGTCTAGGGAATAACCCATTGCTGTTTGTAAGGCTTGGTAATAATCATACATAATCGTTTGGAAATATAGCTAATAAAAAATATAATGAGTGTTCAGCAAAATCGGCATTAGGCCCAAATTACATGATATTAATACTTGAACAGGTGCAGAAAGGCGCTTTAAATGAGGTAAATGAATAAAATGTCCCAGAGCACAACTGTGTGCACTGACAAAAAGTCAATCACATGAATAATTCAGCGGCCGGGACTGCCAGCAAAGGTCAGCGGCTCTCACCTTTGTGACGGGAAGTGAAAGGAAACGCTGCTGCTGACGAAAAAAAAAACCCCTCGCCCTCCAGCCGCCGCGTTGCCACCCCGCCGAAGGTGTAAACTTGGAGTAGGGAGGAATTAAAGCGCTGCACCGGCCAGCCGGCGTAAAAAAAATAATAATAAAATAAAATAATAGTAAAAAAAAAAAAACCACCCCAGCGTGAACAGCCAAGTCGTTTAGGAAAAATAATCTGAAATTACAGCCAGAGAAAGGTTAAGGGGGGTGGCTACCAGCAATGTCAATTATCTCCCAAATCTGAGGTCACTCGAAAGGTATTTTAAGAGCCTACGGGACTGAAATTTTGTAACAGCTGTTAAATATGACAAAACTTTTTATTCCCCCAAACTAAAGCTATTCCAAACTCCGTATGAAAGAAATGGGATAAGCAGATGTCTGGCTTCCATACAGGAAAGTAGGACACACTTGGAATGATAAGTCTCCTAAACTCTATAGAATAATGCCAGATTTATTGGGGAGGGGGGTATTTACTACCCACGGAGATGCCAACTAGCAGTAGGACTGTGATGGTACCATCTGGAAACCCGCTGCAGAGCAGGCGCTCGGTGACGCTCTGTGAGCACATCCAGCTCCACCAGCCCTGCCACTGCTCCACACTCCGTGTTCCGACAGGGACACGCTCCCACCGCCCCGGCCGACCCACCATCAACAGTTGGACCCCCGGCTTTGGGGTGCACCGAGCCCAAGAAGGCAGTGAGAAGTCGAGGGGATGGATCTGAGCAGGAATTTCCATCCCTCCTAATGAAATATAGGATGGTGGCACGGAGGAATTATTTTAGCACAGAGTGTGGTTTTGGTTTAGCAGTTACAGCGGCATCCTGTAATCATTTACAGCCCTTGGAATGTATGGGTGAAATAGGAGAGATTTATCTGTTCATAGTTGTGATATGTAGACAATGGGTGTTCCTAATGAGGAACATCTGCTTTTGTGTTTTCCCAGAAAACATTATTCCACTATGAAAATGATACTCCCATCCTTTTCAGCAACACCGCAAAGAAAATATGGGCCTTTTCCTTTCTTTTATTTGCTTTTCTTTGGGTCAATCTAATTTCCCAGGGACACTTTTTCTGTGGCATCTTTTTACTGACTGCGCTGCAATTTACGGTGGGTTTGTTCTTTAACACGTGAGTTACTGTGCTGGAGGAACAGCCCCGAAATGCCAGAGGATCCTTAAATGTGTACAGTAATAAAAGCCTCCACACTCAGCCATGCTCCGTGAGAAACATCCAGGCGACGTAAATAAAAATTCCCAGTGAATTAAAAGGTCGCGGAGGCTCCCGACACCGAAAACTGCTTCCAGGCCTCAGGTTTTGCTTTTGCATTTTGAGCCCACTGCAGGATTCAAACGTATAATTACACAAGTTTATTTAAAATATCGCCACTGCTAACAAATTATTATTCCTGAGGTGCATAAGGGTTTTTTTTTTTATTTTCCTTCTATTTGTTTTGTTTTTTTTTTAATCCCAGCACGATAAACAATTCAGACTATCACGGAGTCTCCTAGTGTGGGCTGGAACAAATGGGTGGCCATAGATCTCAATTCAGGATTGAATTATTGGTTCATATCCTGAGGACAAATATGCCTTATCTGGTCAAAAGCTGCTAAATGTATCCAAAGGACAAAAGGATCTAGTGAAGCATATTGGATATAATTCTTTTT